AGTCTTCTATATGAGAATTTTGGGAAGATTTTATAGATGAGATTTCATGAATATGTCAAAATTGACTTCAATGATAGAAAATTCCTATCTTGATATTATGGCTATGCCATTTATTTATTATAGCACGTTTCATATTCTTCATTGGAAGAAGGGTCGGTTTCTATGGTCTTTCATACCTGCATAACACTAATAATCCATTTATGTAAATTCAACAATTTTAAAGAGTCACTAGTTTTTCGGTTAACTGTAACTGAACTCGTATTTGCTGATTTTAGCTGAAGAATATATCAATAAAAACCAATATATGGTGCTATATCCTAGAAATTCAAATACCTGAATTTTTTGAAGAGATTAAGTTATTTTTTTGCCAAATTTCTTCAGTATATTATCCAAGTCATCATATCTGCACACGTGACCCTTTGTTGCCTCCTTAGCTGGCTTGCAAGGCTTCTTTTGTGACACCTTTCATATTGTTTTTGCAACATCAGTACACTAATACTCCATTTTATTTAAAGTTGGTAGGAAACTTCAATCGTGGAATTAATTTTCCTATTAGCTGTAGAAGATTTTATTACTGTTCCATGGGTCTACCATTTCATATATTGTGCTGCTCTTTTAGTTCATCTTGCTTGTCTTTGCTGTGTGCATTTGGTATTTTAAAGTTTAACTGAAATGAAAAATAACTTGTAATAATGTCTTTGGTAGACGATTAAGACAAATGTTATGGGCACAATGAATATGTTGGGGCTTGCAAAGAGGGTTGGAGCAAGGTATAGCCTAATTGCTTTTTGTGTAGTTAAGAATATTGGAAGCATATGGAATGTGCATACCATCTTTTAACCTATGTTGCAGGATTTTATTGACATCTACCTCAGAGGTGTACGGTGATCCTCTGGAGCATCCTCAGAAGGAGGAGTATTGGGGAAATGTTAACCCGATTGGTACTTTTGTTTCTTTCTTGCAAGTAGCCATTAACTTTGTGTCTAAGCAATGAAATATTTTTTCTATAAATTATCATTTTTTAATATTTTAATATTTCTAGGAGTGAGGAGTTGCTATGATGAGGGGAAGCGTGTGGCAGAGACATTAATGTTTGACTATCATAGACAGCATGGCCTAGGTGCATTGTTGTTATCTAAGTCGCATATTTGATTTTTAGTTTCATTACTAACAACGTAGAATTAGGCCATTTCTCACCATACAATCTGGGACTGTCATTCTTTATCAGAGATCCGAATTGCTAGAATCTTCAACACGTATGGGCCTCGCATGAACATTGATGATGGTCGTGTCGTCAGTAACTTTATAGCTCAAGCACTTCGGTAATCTCTGTGCTTTCATCAACACATATATGTCATATTTCTTTGACCATGATTACTTAATCTAGTTATAATTGCATGCAGCGGTGAATCCTTAACAGTCCAAGCCCCAGGAACACAGACTCGAAGTTTCTGTTATGTCTCTGACATGGTAAATGTCATTGATTGCCTTTTTAACCGAGCACAGAGTTTTTAGGTCTTATCTGGTTTTGTTACACATCTCTCTGATGTACCATCAGGTAGATGGACTAATTCGGCTGATGGAAGGAGATAATACGGGCCCTATTAACATAGGGAACCCTGGTAATTTCCATGATTACCTTGTAATTTCATGGTTGGCTGTTATAGTTGTTTATTACACATGCTGCTTCAGTTTGCCATGTCTTTCTATATTACTAGCCAAGAGGGGAGAATGTTGATCTTGATTTTTAGAAACCTTAACATGCTAGGACAAATGGATTTTTGAGTTTTAAACAGGAGGTGCATTTGATATTGTTTCTTTAGAAACCTATCTGCAATGCTATGTGTGTCTCTGTTCCTGTCTCTGTGTGTCTTTTCTGTGCATCTTAGATCTTCTAGTCCTGATTGTTATCGTGATTCCATACTCTACCATTGTTAATTGTCAGCCTTGATCATAATCTCTAATTGGTTATTCATTATTTGAAGGTGAATTTACAATGATGGAACTTGCTGAGATCGTGAAGGAAGTAAGTTCTCCTATCCTTGCTGCCAGAAAGTTGGCCTTTTTACCCCTTTTTTTGCTGTTAAAAAAAGATGAACATTGACTTTTTTTTTTTTGGTTAATCATGTTTTAGTTGTAGAAAGGAAGACAAAGCAGACTTCCGTACAACTCATCATTCATTCATTTTGACTTTAAATTATACTGGCTAGAGTAGCAATGGAGACATCCAGATAACTAAATATTACAAATTTGTACCTCCTTTTGAAGTTAACCGAGCATTACCATATTTTTTGCAGTTAATTGAACCCTCCATATCAATTGAAATTGTTGAGAATACCCCTGATGATCCACGTCAAAGGAAACCTGACATCACAAAAGCAAAGCAACTTCTAGGATGGGAGCCCAAGATCACCCTACGACAAGGTCTACCCCTAATGGAGGAGGATTTCAGGCTCCGGCTCGGAGTGCCCAAGAAAGCATGACCTTGTGATCGATATGAAGTCGTGGCCGATGCTCTACTCTCATCTTCAAATAAATGTTTGGTTCCGAGTTTTGATTGTTAGATGATACATCTGAAGAGGGGTTATGAGAAAGGTATTACATTTCGAGTGTTTGAGAAGAAATATTCCCTGAACATGTTTGGATTTGTTTCTTACGGCCATTTAAATGGCTATATAGATTAAAGGTCAATCGAACTGTTTGCATTCCATGATTAGCTTCATGGTGCATACTGTCTTCAAGATGTTACTGGTTCCAAGTTTTGCTCTCTCTGCCACAGTCTAACTTATAGAAAGCTCATCCACGATTACCTGAGCGATAGATCGAGCTCTCTGTGTTTCTTGGAGTTAATTGCAAGTCTTGAACGTATGACTCTGCTATGCAACCAACTTCTCTTTTGGCCCTTCTCCAGCTTTGTGATTGCTGCCATTTGAGATCGAAAAGATGTTGTCACAGTGATTGAAACTTAGTGTTCACCGCATCGGACGATGAACACTCTGACTTGAGCGTCGGAATATACTGGTAATTGGAAGAATAATGACTACGACGCAACAGACAAAAAATAGATCGAAAAATGAAGATATTTAGTAAGTGAACTGCTCGTACAAGAGAGAAGCAGGCAACTGTTCACTGTCAGGGAAGACAAAGTTTCTGCTTCCAAAGAGAGGAACGTGTGACCCAAAGCACCGAGTGGCCATTGGACGACGAGGCTTTCTACAACAAATAGTGCAGGGTTGGAATTTTTTGCAGCATCAGCTGACGAATCAATGTGCATGCAGGCAAGAAGAATCTTTACAGCTATGTGGATCGGCCACACTGACGGAAAACCACTCCTTTCCTATCTCTATTACGATCACAAGGAGAAGGTGCCCCTCGACTTGGAGCAGATCTTAATGACTGCCAAACCGAGAGAGAGAGAGAGAGAGAGAGAGAGAGAGAGAGGCCATCCAAAACGCTGTCACTACTAACCACACTTGCATTATGATGTATTGAATGCGAACTATCTTGTGACCGAGATTGCACATTTTGTTGATTAAAACAAAATTTTAGAAGGGGTCATATAATTAATTGCATAAAACATTAATTCTTGATGATATGACCAAACTCTTTGGGCACATATTCTTCCCTAATGTTATTGTGTTCACTGGCTTTTCACATAAATAAACTCACGACGGTACGAAAAACAGAAGACAGGAGAACAAGCAATTAGCCACACAAATTAGATATAAAAGTCAAACCCCAAAACCAAAAAAGAAAAACAGAAACCATAAAAATCTCTCTTGAGCCCTTCTAAATCGTCGTTACTTTTTTGATTGACTTAATCATTGGAGGGATTTAGTCGAGAAGTCTCCCAACAGTGACCAATTTTGTAGGACTCCCAAGCATCCAAAAAACATCTCGGGATGACACGAACCATCCCCTGATTAGGCTAAGACACACTTCAGAATGATTTCAATTTTCCTTTGGTAGATGAACCGCAAGTCGGACACCACGAGCGAGCAAAACCTCAAAAGTCCATTTATTATCTCAGTCTCATACCTGAATCGCAACCAGGTCGTGTTGACTCTCTGATCAACACACTCAAGACTTAATAACTCCCAACTTAAGTTTTATGTCCTCGGTTACCATGTATGTTACAAACAAGTCAGAGCCTGCAATCAATGTATATATATGCCATTTCTGTGCATGTTGAGGTATATCTATAGCTATTCTTAAATCGTAAACTTAGTTATGCATGTTGAAGTATATAGTGATTCTAAAAATAATAAGTTATTGGCCATTAGATTACTATTGGATTTTTCTAAATATTGTTAGGATTGGTAAGTACTATTGGATTTTTCTAAATAGAAAACTAAATTGCTTGAAAAACTAGATTATTTGGTGTAATAAATATCATATATATATATATATATATATATATATATATATATATATATATATCTGAGTATTTTGATTAAGGGAGGTATAAAAAAGATAAAAAAAATTCAGAATTTATGTGAAAGAGTGCATAGGGACTTTGAGTTTGTGTTAACTCGGTGAAGAGTTTTATTTCTTATATTTTATTATTCTCGTAATGAAATTTAATTCTTTTTCTTTGTTAACGCAAGTAAAAATATGTTTACATATGTAGAAACCTTAAACTCTAATTATATATTTCAACCATATAAAATATATAAATATGTTTCATAATATACAATACAGGTACAATAATATATTATCAGGTTGAACACTCATGTTTGTCTCATCAGAGTTTCTTTTACTTTTAACCCAGGGATGGAATTTCACTTTGTATATATATATATGAGAGAGAGAGAGAGAGAGAGAGGAAAAGAAGGAAGAACTACCGTTGGAGTCCTAATCAACCAAAAGCGTGACATATCTGATGACGATAACGTATAAGCTCACAAAACCTCGCCAAGTTCTACTCTCCATGACTGATCAAAAACCCCATGCACACCTCCACGTGTGCACACAACCACACACCCTAAATTCCATGCAAATGCCACCACAGTTTAATCCTTCATTTTGTAGCCTATAAATTGCATCATTCAAACTTGATTTGGAGAAACAAGAAGAGATGAAGTGGTATTGGAATCTAAGGAGGCTATACATATATAAGATGACTGATGGACAAAGGTAATTTTAATGGACAGTTTGATCTTAATCTTCCTTGTCCGAATCTTTTGCAGCCGTCTCAGCGAGGATCTTCTGTATCCTCCTCTCCACAGCCTCCATCTCCAAAGCCTTCTCCTCTTGGTCCTTCATGTATGTCTGGAAGAACTCCTCGTTCTCCTTCTCTAACTCCTTCCATACTAACACCAAAAACACAATCAAACGAAATATATATGGTTACTTGAAAATTTTCCACTATTTTGCTATGCATTCTCCTTTATGCATATATGTGCAGATATGCAAAATATTCCTGTGCGATCCGGTGATGCTTTCATGCTCTTGAAACTGCTATCGTTTGCACGTAATGCTCAAGATCAACTGCTACGCAAACAAACTTTTCTACATGAGAGAGAGAGAGAGAGAGAGAGAGAGAGAGAGACCGGTGGAGGTGATGACGGGTTGGATGTTGGCATGCTTAGCGAGGGCCTCCATGCACTCGTTTTTGTTCATGTGGAAGACGAGGCATTGCTCGATCAAGTGTTGCACCTGAAGAGCCACACACACAGGCACCATGGTGACCATGAAGCATCAATCTACTCCAGCGGAAAGAAAAGAGTGAAGACGAACATGTTTGTCTTACCATTCGGATGTAGGAAGCCGATGAGGATTCACCCATGCTGGGCGAAACAGCAACTTCTGACAGCCTCAGCGAGTCTTCCCGGCGTCGCTAGCTTTCAGCTCGGTGGAAGAAATGTGGGAGCTTTAAAGAAGTCGAGGTGGGCCACGCGATCACGTGGGAGATGAGAGATCATTGGTGGTGTGATGATAAGGGATATCTCGTAACCGCCGTAGTTTCCGGTATTAGATTCGCTCTGTCATCAGACCCATCCAGTAATAATACGCCACATCATCATCTCCTTCACGGATCCCCGGAGGCGGTCGTCTTCCATCGATCCGGCACCGACGGTCACGATGAAATCTAGGCCTCAGCCGTACTTGATCCGCATCAGAGACGCTGACGTGGAACGTTCGCGAACCGTTGGTGACGATGATCGATCGACGAGCTCGCCACACACGGCGGAAACAGCTGCCGTCTCCGAGTAGTGCTTCCCTTCCGCAGCGTGTGATCGAGGATGGTCGTACCTCGTGAAATTTGCATGAGCACCCGAAAGCTACTTTCAGAATGTTTGATTCCACGATGCTACCTACCCAGACTTCTCTATCAGGGCTGAAACAAATCACAGAAGAAGAGAGAAAGAAAAAGAATCCGCAAACAAGCAAATTGGATCCTGTCTTGTGCGCCAACCCATTAGAACAGCGGCCGCCGTCGACGTCGCCTCGTCCCATCAGCAGTTGTTCTTGTAAAAAGACGTCTTGTTTTGTTGTCCGCGAGGCTGCAAGTGATGTCTGGCCCTCAAGTTTAGACAGTGGGGAAGAGTCCAAGGGCGGCCACATGGCCTGCAGGACCCCATGGCAGCAACATGGAACGAGGAAGACCACTGTGCTCCTCTTCCGCCCGTGCTTTCTGAAGAATGACCTGATCGTGACTTGCACAACGAAGGCTTCGAGGTTGACAAAACAATTTGATCGTCTGATAAGCCGCGACGTTCGTTAACCCACTCATCATCTTACTGTGGATCCACTTGCTGCAGCGGCTCACGCCTGTCCGCTGCCCGATGAAATGCCTCCAACCTTCGTACCTTGTAAATGTCCACCACTAAACAAGGCAAAGGGTTCCACGGTTTCCGTGCCAATTGTTACTTGTCTCAGCGCACCGACAACGTCCGCCAGCCACCGGTTTCGAGGACCTTCACCTGTGCAAGAGACAAACAACAAGGAATGGGCTTCCAAACAAAAGGAAGGAAAACGTACAGTAAGATATTTACAGTGTGATTTCGAATTGGATGATGCATGTGTGCCCTCGCGTGGCCTTCCTATCTCTTCCCTTCACCTCTTCCACCCTGTCCGACCTTCAATTCTGGATCACAAATTTCACCGTACGACCACAGAAGCCTGTGGCCACCAAGGAAGATGGAGTGGAGACAAGATCGAGAAGACGAGATAAGCACAACAACTTACCACGACACTACTGCAAGCTTGTGTTTTCATTTCCTGTGGGATTGCGTGGCACTCTATCCTGAGATCCAATCGAATGGTTGAATGAAGTGATAGAAGGTGAACAGAAGAGAGGATAATGTTGCTACAGACACCGTCGATTACCCATCGGTGTAATTGATGGTCGATCAGACGGTGGAAGCAGAAGAGACGAGTTGTGATGATATCATGTCAGGGATTCGTAGACCATCTTACACAACCATAATGTGAAATATGTTATGATTACAGTAACTCGAGGCTAAGAAATTGAAAGCATCAATTAAGATAGAGTTAGTTAAATGAGATGGTAGAGTCTTAATAAGATCAAATACTGGTGAATAAGATAAGATTATCTTAGTTTAAACTGTCATCTTATGTCTATAAATCGATACAACAACTAATTGAGTGGATTACCGGATGGAGTTCAGATTCTTATAAATATTTTTAGAAGTTCAATAAAGATTTTTATTTCGCCTCCATTGTTTCTTTTTTTTATTTGGTCTTATATTAGATTTTGAGCTGATAGCACTATGTTTTACTATTTAAAGCCATCAGAATGGTGATTTGTACCTTGAAGATCTTCTTGATGAAAATAATAATTAGTTTATTTTCAATAATAGATTATAATATTAAAAAAATATTATTATGGTGAAGTTAGTGAGTTTGGTATAAATTTTTTAATCAGTTGAACAATAAGATTTGGAAGACTCGCATAGAGCGGAAGAAGGGGTCTATGTTAAGGTTTGTTTATCATGATATTTTTAGTTATAAGTCGATTTCAAAGACTTAGAGTCACTCTTGATGTATTGTTTAAGAAGAAATATATAATTCTATTTTAGTATTTAGGGAATGAGTTAAGTAATATTGTCCAATTTGATCCCTATATTTCTTAATTTTTTTTTTCAAGATCTCTCTATTATTATTTTCATTTAATAAGGTGATCTAGATACATCTTTTAAATATAAATTTAACTTTTATATTTTGTGTCCTTCGTCATCTCATAATATCTTCATTTGTAGCATCTGATGATATTGTTATATTGTCATCAATCTATTTCTATATGATTGGGAAGGTACCGGTACTACAAACTCATTCAGTCACTCGAATCGAAGGGCTACAAAAATATAGGAACTCTCATCAACTCTTTGTAGTCGCTGATAGGGGATCAACCTATAATCCCTGACTATCCCGACTTCCCAAAGAGAGCCCGCAAAACCTATTCCTCACTTACACTACGATTGAAGAAAAGGCCACGCCTAGGCATTAATGGTCGATGACATGGCTCGCCTCCCCCACACCTCCCTTCTGGATGATTGAAGGAGGGATCATTCTCTACCTGACTTAAAGCAGCTAAAAGGCCGGACAGGGAATGCTATCTCGATCATCCAATGTTAACGTTGGCCTCAGGACAATGCAGCAATAAGCCACCTTCATTTAATGGCTCTTGCCAAGTAAGGTAGGGGAGACTCTCACCAATCCCCGTCCTCGCTACCCGACACCTAAGTATAAAAACTAAGCCTTAGGACAAACAAGGGTAAGCGGGTGAATTCCACGCTCTTCTGAGTATAGTTAACTCACTCTTTCCCTATCTCTCTTACTTAAGTATCAGAGGGGCCACGCCGAGACCTTCCTCGATGCTGACTTGCCATGCAGGACCCTCAACGCATCTGAGGAGGCATTGCGAGATGACTCCCACTAATAAGGTGGACCATATTCCTAAGATTAGTTCACCCCCTCCACAGATGAGAAGCTCTCTATGCCCATGCCTTAAGCAAGCTCTCCACAATAGTCATCCATGTTAGCTCCCCAGGAAGGGCCTGCACTTTCGGCGTTAGACTGAGCCGAGTTGGCTTATCAGTCGATGGCTTCAGTGTACCAACATTTTGGCGATAGGAGGGTCAAATGTCATAGCAATGTCCTTCCACAACTCTTACCAACAAGTTCTCTATTGATGATAAACAACCCTAATGTTTGACCCTTTTGAGTAAGGAGGGCACCTGTCCCCCTTCCAGCGAGTCAATGCTTTCGTCTCGGCGCAGACTTTTGTATGCTACTGGTATTTATTCAATAACCTTGATATCTCCCCTCCAGGATATCTACTCATCCCGTCCAAAGCCTCCTTAGTCCTTGCACACCCGTGACCCACTTTTTAGCCGTTGTCGGTACCCCCTTCCCTGAAGCTCGATCGGCGAACCCTTGCTCGACCTCTTGGAGGCCCCTTAGCGAATTGGAGCAAATTACATGGCACTATGGTCCCCCCCCCCTGCCCCCCCCCCCCGCTCCTTATGACCAAAAGAGAAACAAATCAATATTATCTTCGAGGGATCGCCTTAGAGAGAGAAAGTTCCTTTAGATGTAGGACTTATACTTAGGCCGTCAGGTTAAAACGTTCAAGAATGGAGGGAGGACCGCAAATCTTCTTCAGGGAAGAGGAAGCAGCCCACCTTACCCAGAACAAGCGCTATCTATCTCGATTCGGATATTAGATGCTTGGGTGAAGAGGGTCTAGTGGACACGAGCAGATTACTTCACCAAATGAGCCGAAGTCGAGCCTCTGAAAATAATCTCAAAAAAGTAAGTAGAGGGCTTTGTACGGAGAAACATTATCATTAGATTTAGGATCCCAAAAGCCCTCATCACCAACAACTGGACGTAATTTAACAACTCAAAATTTAAAGAGTTCTGTTGGTTCTATGAGATTCAGCTAAAGTTCAACTTAGTGGCACAATCGCAAACCAACGGACGAGCTGAAGTTACTAATCGATCCATCTTTAAAGGATTAAAGAGAAGGGTAATTAAAGCTAAATGATCATGAGTGGATGAGCTCCCTAGCATCTTGTGGGCATCACGGATAAACCCTAAGACCACGTCGGGCGAGTCCCCATTCAGCCTAGTCTATGGCATTGAAGCAATCCTTCCACCTGAGGTTATTTTGCCAACCCCTCAAATGGAAGCATTTGATGAAGCCACATCAAAGGAGGGACTTCGAGCCCGGCTAGACATGATCAAAGAACTAATGGCTAAGGCGCATCCCTGAGCCTTGAGATACAAATAAGCACCGGCCAAATTCTATAACTAGTGGGTACGGTGGCAACAAATCAACTTTGAACTGCGCTTTCTGAGGGGGATGAATGATAGGGAAAGGACCAATACTACCAACCTATCCTGCCACCTGGACCGAGAAAGTCACCTAAGCAAAAATATGAGGACTCCCACCAACTCTCTGTAGTCGTTGACAGGGGATCAGCCTACGATCCCTACCTATTCTAACTTCCTAAAGAGAGCCTACAAGACCTATTCCTCGTTGACATAAGAAAGGGTCATGCCCCTACATTAATAGCGATGGCATGGCTCACCTCCCCCACACCTCACTTTCGGATGACTAAAGGAGGGACCACTCCCTACTTGACTTAAAGAGACTAAAAGGTCGGAAAGGGACCGTCATCACGATCATCTAGTGTCAATGTCGGCCTCAAAACGACATGCTGATAAGCCTCCTCCATTTAATAGCACATGACGAGAAGGGTAAAGGGGGCCCTCAATAATCCTTATCCTAATGAGACCGATTCATCTTTAAATACAAATACTAAATAATCTCAGTCATAGGTTACTTAAGAGGGACATCGAGATAACCAGATAGATT